CAGTTGGGGTGAGGGGGGCCGGGCTGCAGGGGAGAGACCTGGGGAAGGTGCTGGGCAGGGGGAGAGGCTGAGGGGGACCATGGAGGAAGGTGGGAGATGGGGGACTGGGGAGGGGTACTCGCCCGCAGGGGAGCCCAGGAGTCTGGTGTTTAGGAACGGGGCTCAGCCCCCAGCTTTGGGGTACGCAGGCCTGGGGGAGCGCCGGGAGCTGTGCGTGCTGCCCCCCCGTGGCGGGGAGGGAGGAGGTTGGCAGGTGTCTGTCCCACCTCGAGGAGATGGGGCTCCTTCAGCGGGGCAGAGCTGGCTCCCCTCCTCGTTCCTCTCTCCAAAAGCTGCGTCTCCTCGTGCTACCTGTGTTGCGTTAACGTATAGTGGATCCCCCTGGGATTTGTGTAATGCCGAATACTGCACGTACCCGTGCAGTCGGCCCCTGCCCTGATACGCTTAGAGGCGAGGGGGGAAGGTGGGTGCCCCTAGTAACTGCGGCAGAAAACCGGAGGCCAAGCCCCACGCTGGGCCCGTGACACAGAGCTCTATAGATAAGGCTGTTTCTGTTTCCAGGTCAGAGCAGTGAGAGAGGACATGTTTCTCGTGTCTGTCCTGGAAGCAGGATGAATCTTGTGTCTATGGCGACAGATCCTGAACTGAAATGGATAACCTTGTGGGTCCGCATCAGGTGGGCGGCTGTGGCCGTGCTCCTCCTGGGCTCTCTCTTGATGCTGCTGCTGCCGCTGGCTGCTGTGGAAGACCAGTGCCAAGCAGTGCTCAAAGGACTCTCCTTCCTGAAAAGTAAACTGGGGGGCAGCTACTCGGGGATCACCAGATACACAGGACAAACGACTGGACTGAGTGTGACCTCAAACGGGCTAGAGCTGCTGGTGCTGAAAGGCAAAGCCTCTCCAGGTAAGAGTCTGTCCCTGCATGGATGCAGGGGAACAGCTGAGTAACTATATAGTGATAACTTGCATCTGGAGATCCACAACCCCTACCTGGTGATCTCTGCGTACCCTCTAACGAGTAGTGAACTCTCACTACCCAACTGCAAATTAAACTCAGCTGTAAATTACCAAGAGGTCACACATGCTATTGCCACCCAGCTTCCAGGCAGCAGGCAAACCACGTTCCATTGCTGTGAGCCACAAAGGAGTGATGGACTGGTGTTTTTTTCCAGCGCTGCTTAGTCTCTCAAAAGTTTCTCTTGTTGTTTTATATAGCAGTAAGCGCTATTAAGATAACTGGAGGATGGAGTTGTGTTTTAATGCACAGTAACTGCTACACAGCATTACCCCTGAAATCCTGGTGGTCATTTAACAGCTGTAATATTCACTTTCTGCAGTGTATACTGGCTGCAGTTGTTAGCTTTATTGGACAGGGCATTCCTCAGGAAAACATTTAAAGGAGTCATTACGGTTCTAGCACTGTATCTTTGATCACATTAAAGCTATTATTACTGGGAAGATGTTTAATACTTCAGTGAAAAAACTGATAGAAGTGCTGTAGCTGCTGTAATGTGGACTCTGCTCATATCAAGAGAATTGGCATTAATGCCATAGGACTTACTTAAGACCATGTATCCTCTCATGCAGAGCAGTCTGGTAGCAAAAGATAGTTCTGCTAGCGAAGCTGCACCTGCACTGGCGTGGCCAGCTTGAGCTGTGTTGGTCACGGATCGTGCCTCACCACGCTTCCTGCCAGAAGCAGCTGTGCCGTCAAATACGTGGTATGTAAACATGGCCCAAACCTCTGGTGTTTACAGACACCGGAAGCATCTACACCTGAGGTAAAGGCTGGAATACAAGTTCTTTGCTGCAGTTCTTATGTATTTGCTTTATTTAATTTTCTTGTAAGTGAAAAGTGACAGGCTCCAGAGGTTTTCAGTAAAACCCACTTCCCTGTTATCTAACTGCTTGTATTGTTGTATTTCAGAAGTGAAGTCAGAAGCCAAAGCTGCCCTGAATCAAGCCCTTGAAATGAAGCGTCAAGGAAAGCGGGAGAAGGCCCACAAACTCTTTGTATACGCCCTCAAAATAGATCCCGATTATGTGGATGCCCTGAATGAATTTGGCATCTTTTCTGAAGAGGAAAAAGACATTCTTCAAGCAGACTATTTGTACTCCAAAGCGCTGACCATTTCTCCTTGCAACGAGAAAGCTTTGATCAATCGGGACCGAACGCTACCTTTAGTTGAAGAGATAGACCAGAGATATTTTAGCATTATTGATAGTAAAGTTAAAAAAGTGATGGCAATCCCAAAAGGCAATTCCGCCCTGCGCCGAGTAATGGAAGAGTCCTATTATCACCATATTTACCACACAGTTGCCATTGAAGGGAACACTCTGACGCTGTCAGAAATACGGCACATCATTGAGACCAGATACGCTGTTCCTGGAAAAAGCCTAGTGGAGCAGAATGAGGTAATTGGCATGCATGCAGCTTTGAAATATGTAAATACCACACTAGTATCACGAATAGGCTCTGTAACCATCAGCGACGTTTTGGAGATACACCGGAGAGTGTTGGGCTATGCTGACCCCGTGGAGGCAGGCAGGTTCAGGACTACTCAGGTGTTTGTAGGGCATCACATACCACCACATCCTCAAGATGTTGAAAAACAGATGCAGGAGTTTGTCCAGTGGCTTAACTCCGAAGATGCCATGAGCTTGCACCCCGTGGAATTTGCTGCATTAACCCACTATAAATTGGTTTACATACATCCATTTGTAGATGGTAATGGAAGGACCTCACGTCTATTAATGAACCTCATATTAATGCAAGCGGGCTACCCGCCCATCACAATCCGCAAAGAGCAACGGGCAGAGTATTATCACGTCTTAGAAGTAGCCAACGAGGGTGATGTGAGACCTTTCATACGCTTCATTGCTAAATGTACTGAGACAACTCTGGACATGTTGCTCATTGCCACCACGGAATACTCCGTAGGTTTACCTGAAGCAGATGGCAGCACTGCTGGATGCAAACAAACTATCCCAGTCAAGACTTGAGCGTTGGGGGACATTCAAAAAACAGACAAACGTGTAGGAGAACAGAAAGCCACTCATTGCTCCTGCCGAGAAATAACTCAACAGGAGGTGTCACTCTTTAGCATTTCATTTATTTAAAGTCTCTTACATTTGATTAATTTAATTTATTTATATACATTATGCCAAGCTGACATGTGAATTGTTGATGTTGAGTGTGTACTGTAACTTGCCTGTGCTACTGGAAGGAGATGGGGAGGAGCCAAGAGGGTATCCATTTGCAGATGTTACTCAACAAGCTGCAGTAGAAATAATTTTATTTTCTCCTTAAAACAGAGTTTTGAGAAGCCACTTCCATCACAACCCTTTACCTAGTTTGTTGACTGTGTTGTCGTACCTTGTAAAATAACTGCTAGACGAGACTGTCTTAACTTTGTGTTACCCCTTCCTTGTCATCCAACAAAACGTGCAGTTACAACACTGTCCTAGCTGTGTTAATCAGACTTTCCCCCTTCGCTCCTTTTATTTATTACTGCTAATGAAGGAGACTAACTTCAGCAAAGGCATTTCCATTTCTGTTTTTAATAGCACTTTGCATGTTTACTTTTGAGTTGCCTTTCCTGTGGTGAGTTTGTGCAACAACTGAGAAATGCTTGGTATAAGATTACAGATCATCTGACTGGAACAAGTGAAGAAATGCTCTCTGGCTCCTTATTTAACTGCAAGATGCTTTTGCTGTACCTTAGTCAGCAGGACCACCTAGTGCTCTGAGGCCGCCCCACCAAGCAGGATCCTTGGGAAACTGCAGTTGCCTTTACCCATTTCAGTCGAGGGTTTGAAGAACAGCTTCCTTCTGCAACACCGTGGGCAGAAACAGTTATCATAAACGCCAGTGAGACAGCCCTCATCGGCCTTGCCCTTTCACTAAGGATTTGCGTAGCGAGTTCTCTACAGCCTAAAAATGTTTACTTTTAGCTCCTTCAGTCTACACAAGAGAAGTTTTAGCAAAATCGTATTAATTACTATTTCATATTATTACTGTGATAACATGTTTAAAGCCTCACGAGGCCTCTTTGTGCTGCCGTGTCAGTGTGGCTGGAAGCTGCTGTCCAGTTCAAATAATGGAAAAGTTATATTGGCGGTGCTAAGGATCATGTTTGGACACTTAAGATATCTTATCTTTGCTTTTGCTTTGATGGTAAAAGCATCTGCCATCTAATTTATACAAGAGTAGCTCTCTAGGCACTGCCTGCCCATTGTGTAACAGCATAACTCCAAACGTAACAGATCCCAACACCTCCAAACCTGGATTGCATCTAAGTTTTCTGAACTCAGAAAGCTGTTAAGCTTAATCCCTTTGCAGAACAGCACGGGTTGTTACACTGTCCTATGCCAGTATCCCTTTCCTCCGTTCTAAGTATTTCTTACTTGCAAGATAGTTATATTTTATAGAACAAGCAGACAATGAACAACAGATAGAGTTACCTATATTCTGTAGCACCAGTATCAATTACTGCTGACAGGGAAAACAAAAAGGGGAAGTTGTTTAGTTTTTACAAAGCATGCTTTATTTTTGTAGTGCAAGACGAGTATAAAAAAATGCTGCACTTTAGAGCTCTGAAAAAAATTATTTTAGTAACATTAATAAAGTATTTTAATATTAAAAATCTTTGTTTGGAATAAGCTATTCTCAAAACACTTTTCAACTGCAGTAAACTAAGAAACATTCACAACTCAGTTCCTAAAGTAACAAGTTAAGTGTTGTATAGTACACATCCTGGTTCCCTATGCAATGCCAAACTGCATCTCTACTACAGGGCCCTGCATTCTGCCCCTCAGTGAAGTAGCAAGTCCAACCCTAACAGCCAAAGTAAACACAGGTCATCCCTGCTGTTTTATTAGTTTTGTGTACATGCTTGCCTGAAGTGAAAGGGCAATGCAAGCATCCAGCGGCAACAGCCTTAGCAGTTTCCCCCCCAAACTAAAGATACATTATTAAAACATTGATTAGAAAAAGTTGGTTTTGCGATACAAAGGCCATTAAGCAATGCTGAGCGGTTGTCTCCAAGCTTCTGGCACAGAAGAGAGGGCATACAGTACTGTGGACAAGCACTAAAAAACTTGGTCCCTCAGTGTATCATCCACAACCACCTGTTGCATCTGGTTCAAAGCTACGATGCTAACTCATTAATTTCAAAGTAAAGCCAAGTCAAATCAGTACCAAATTCAAATACTGAAAATAGTATTTATTTGCGGCAGTACTTGCATTGTACAAGTGATCTCAGTACTGCTCCTCCCCCCCCCATTCAGCTCCCATGTATGCCGGCTTCCAAAGTTAGCAGCAGTTTTAGCCAGATAAGCACTAATATTTCTATCCAAGATCGTGCACTAGATTATTTTAAGTCACCAGGGTGATTACTGAAGTGGTTTCAGGATACTCATACTAAATGGAATGAGGTACTTAAACATATAACTGATACTAGGTATCTCAGTGCACCTGAGAGGGGAGGTACATCAGTATTACCCAGCTGCCATAGGATAAGTGCAATTCAGTCACCCACATTTAAACAAAAGCAACAGTATTTATAGAAAACCTTTGAGAACTTGAGTTTAATAAACCAAGAAACTTCAGCTTGCACTTCACATTTGTACAAAACCATACAGAAACCACCTGCAAAGACATGTGAGCTAGCTAGCAACTAAAAACAAAAAATGGTCCTCAGCAATAGCATGTACAGCTTTTATGGGGGGAAAAAAAGTGACTAGTTCTAGTATTATCTCATGACACTTAAAAATGATAGTTTGAATGTCATTTACAAATACACAATATAAAAAACAGGTCAACTTGAACAGAACATTAACTGAATACATATATATGTATGTATATTTGTATATATACACATATACACACATATGTATAGAAACTCTCCCAATACTAAAATAGGCCATTGTGGTGAAGTTACTAGCATTTGCCATATTTTTTTAAATGGAAAGGGGCGGGCGTGTGTGTGTGTGTGTGTATGTATGCATGTATTAAAAAAATGTTTGTCGTCTTGTTGTCAGAGAGAATGACTTCAATCACAATCTGAACTTCCGACCAGCACAGCTTGACAAGGTTATCACTAGGCTTTCACATAGCATCTCATTCTTTAATGAAAGAAAAAAATTCATGAAGTATTCATAAAGTTTCCTGTGGCATCCAACCCATAAAGGAAATATTTCTTCCCTCATTACCCTCAATATGAGGGATCATGGAAAGCCATTTTACCAGAACATAGTATAACTCTTTTGCTCTTAGAAACAGAGGAAGAAATGGAATTGTACCATTCTACACTGATCTTTATGAATGTAGTAGTCCAGGACATTATTTATACATGATTGTGACTGGCGCTCTCTCCTTGCTAGCACAAGTAAGGACACAACATGGCTTCCAAAAAGGCATTTCACATTTTACCAGACCAGCTGACTGCAGACTTTTTGCTCACTTCTTGAGCAGCATCCTGGCAAAATCAGCATTAGACATCTTCTTAGGCTCCTCAGGGGGTTCGGATGAAGTTGCTGGTGAATTCTGGACCATCCCGTTCTCCGCCTTAGTCACAGGATGATTCTGGCGCTGTAACGCACGAGGCATCATTGAGAGCTGCGTCCTTCCCTTCCCTCGCCTGAAGGACAAGAAGTCACAGTTAAAGATATTCCAATTCTCTTTAGATGTATTGTTTTAGTCCAGGGAAACAAGCAGCACTTTGTTCACCACTAGGGACACTCACTCTTCTCATTTGTTTCAGTAATAAGCAGCGCACAAAGCTTTTAACTGATGCCCTTTGAAACAGTATACCTAGTCCTGGCAGAAAACAACTGTCCAGCAGTCCCCAGCAACTGAAGCTCCTTGTTTTTCTGCAGGACACGTACAACGCAACACCAACCCACCCAAGTAGAGGGAGCACTCGGAAGGATCAAAGAGCAGCCTTAACGCTCATGGTGAACAGTGGCTACTTCCTCAGAACTAAAGGATGGGGAACAGCTACTAGCACTGGGGTGCTAACATCACATCACAGGATGTCCAGCAGAGGATACTTTTAATCACTGCTGGACTCTTTAAATTGTTAATCCAGAGGAAAAAGAAAAATTGCTTTTCTTCATCAGTCCAGCAATCCAAATTCTTACAATTCAGTATCTTTTAAACGTTCTCTCGTATCCTACAAGAGATTCCTACATTTCAGTGTATAAAGAAACCCAGTGCTTCCTTTCTAAGCACTGCCAAGGAATCTCCCACATGAATACTTACGCTCCATAAGCCTGCCGTGGCGCTGCAAACTGCGAGGCTCGGCCTGCCTCAGGCTTGTCTGGCAACTTTCGGAGAGGCGGGTTACTGATCGCCACCTTGATGACGTGTTCTTTAACTGTCAGGCCATCCATTTTCAGTACAGCCTGAGAAGCCTGAGCTTCGTTTTCATATTCCACGTAGGCCAGGCCCTAAGTAAGGAGGGAGGTGGCCATCCTTAGTTTTAGTGCACCTTTCTCTCTAGGTGACAGCTTTTACAAAGAACTCTGCCAACTGAGAGGAAAATCATACAGAAAACAGACCTAAACACAGCCAAGAGTCCAAGTGTTTTTCAAGACTAAAAGATTCATATCTATGCAAATCTACATGGCAGATTATTATTTTTTTCAACTCTCATTTTTTTAAAACTTCTTTCGTCGTACCCTTAGTTGCGGAAGGAGTAGTTTCTGAACCAGAAAAAGATGAAGAAAATGGAGATTCCAGCGTTAACATCATGAAATACTGCCCCAGTGACAGTTCTTCATTTCTAAACACACTTCTATCCAGGCTGAATCTGGCATTGGACAAACCTGAATTTACAGAGGAGGGTGGGGGCAATCTATGGCGCTGGAAAAGGACGATCCACACAAACTCCTCTGCAATTCTTCACTAAGCTGCAACTCATACTCAAGGAATTGAGTCTATTAATACAGGACCAGAGCAGTCACAGTTTCGAGAGCAGCAAAACTTATCTTAAGCAGCTCTACAGAACTGAATGATAGAAACTGTTTCTAAAGCGTCTGGAATTGCTGCCCCAAGAACAGTGACTGGTGACAAAAGTGTTCTTCCCTGGGAATGAATCTGTGTGGATTTCGTGAGGTAGCAGCTGCTAACCACAGCGCTGCTAGTACACTCCAAGTCCCTCATTTCCAGCAAAGCAGATGAAAAGGTAGCCCCTTGGTATCTACGATTGCAGACAGCTACAGCGAGTTCGCTAAATGAAAAGCGCCACCTCCCCATTCTGCTTTCGTTACTCTTCCACATGACATTCAGCCCCCAAAGCTGCATTGTTTGGATTATCCAGCTTCACAGAACTGCAGATATACATCAGGTTTTATGCAACACATTCATTTAAAGTACATTTATTCATGGTTTGAACAGAATCTCTGCTCACATTAAGCTGGGAACCTGGACTGCAAGACCTGGGGTACCCACAAGAGCATTCATTATGAGATATGCATAAATAGAAACTGTATTTTAGATATCACCAAGGGTTGGGGGAGGGGGGTAGCGAGGAGAGGACAATTTTAATACATGCACGTCACCAGAGTGATACCTGTTAGAAGCACCTAACATGCAGGCATGCCAGAGGTTTCACACAGTGTTTCCGCAGAACAGCGGCTGGTTCCAAATCTCTTATCTAATGAGCACCTACTTATTCTAGGATGAAAATAAGCCTCAGAGAAAGGTAGCTAATTTCTCACCAGCAAATTCAGTACTGCAGCAGGTGTTATGAACAATAGTGGCAAGAAAGTGAAGAGAGGGAAGAGGGGAATCACTTCTATCACTTGAACACTACCAAGACTACATTTTAGGACACAAATATTCTTTGCAGACTTACTAATGCCTCTTCTTACCAGACTGAAGCTGCTGCAAACACCTTTCCCTTCACCCCATTTATAACACATTCTTCTCACTCAAGCTAAAAGAAGCGTTTAAGAAAAAAATCCTTTTCCCCTCTTATTTCTCTTTTGTTGGCACAAAGCCACACTGGGCCGTATAAATCTATGAGTTGTAATGTGGCCAGCCTGGCTTTGCAAACTACTTCTTCAAGTTTGGTCTATTTTTAAAATACAAGATTTTTTTCATGCCTCATGAAAAGTGCCTCTTTGAAGGTTTTCCTCAAAACTAACAGTGCGTTAAGGATGCTTACCTTGGGTTTTCCAGCTCGATTGGTGACCAGCCTAATGTCTTTCACATTTCCATGTGCTTTACATACATCTTCCAGCTCTTCCTTAGTGCAAGAAAATGGTAAACCAGATATAAACAGTTTATGTTTCTCCAATGTGGTGCTATACCTGAACACCTACAGAAACGAAAAGGATGTTAGTTCTCCAACAAGTGAGGGACTCCAAGGATTCCAAGCTCTTATACCTCCTAAAGCTCCATCAAAACACTTCATCTTTTGTGCGACAAAAAGGTTAAAAGCCGCAAGTAGCATCCTGGAAGATATTTGCATAGGCCTCCTTCCCCCCTCCCCAAAAGCATGCACTTCCAAAGAATCACAATCTTGGAACTGAGAAGTTTCTATGCATCTACGTCTGCTTTATGAGAAGAGCCACTATTAGTGGGTTTTCTTGCTCTCTTTTCACCAAGTACTACTTTTTTCTGTACAATAATCCAATAACACAAATTGTATAATCTGCGTGCATGTGATTTTCTGTATCTAGTAGGCATCATTAACAAGAACCAGCGGATCCTATAATAAATGCCTACCGCTATAAAAAATAAAACCAAGAAAAGCACTTTACAGATTACTTAACAGAGATGCACAATTAGCAGCCTGGGTACACACCGTTAACAACTTGCTCAGATTGGCTTAGTCAAAAATTTGAAGATATCTGCTAACGCCAGTTTAGTTTACGGCAAAAAACGTAAGATACAAGAACCCCTGGAAAACCAAACTAGCAAAGTGTAAATTCATTAGATGCAAGCACTGTGGAAGTAACATATTCTGCTCAGTTTTCTATGCAGTCCCACTGTTCTACCTACTTCTAGAAAGAGTAAGAAAAGAAAACCGTACCTTGAAGTCTGGATTCTTGTTCTTGTCAACACAAGGAGAAACAAACATGGGTCTTCCCTCCACAACTTTGCGATCCAATCCAAGAGCTTGGAGAGCCGATTTTTCTTCCTTGAATTCTACATAGCAGTAGCCCCGGAAAGTCCCCTTGTTACTGAACACTGGCCGGATTTCCGCTACCTCCCCACAGCTCTCAAAGAGCTCTTTCAGTTTTGCCTCAGGGTCTGCCATGTTGTAAGAAAGATTGCTGACAAAGACTGTAACATTATCTTTACTGCTGTCATGGAGAACTTTGGGTATGTCTTTTCGACTGGTAGATGCCTTTTCCTTTTGGTTTGGTGGGTGATCGGGCCTTTCCGGTCCGCTCCTTCCAAATAGGCCAGTTTCCACCTCCATTTCTTCTTCAGCAAGTAAACCATCACCATCTCCCTTATGCCTCTTGCTGGGCTGCTCTGCTGATTAACGGAATGGAAAGCCTTACTAGAAAAACTGGACTATTTCTCAAGTTTTTTTTAAATTAAAGACTGCCCTCCATTATCATGATAGCCTTTGAAAATTGTATGCGAAAACAAGGACACAATGACAGGTCTCAAAGACAGGACATAAACACTTCCCTCAGTCTACTAATAAAGAAGAAGAACAGGTTGCTTGACCAAGACAGAAAGGATTTAGGTGAAATCAACACGGAT